CCAGCCGAGCCGCGCCGCCCAGCGGAGCCGCGCCGCTCTGCCGAGCCGCGCCGCCCTACTAAGCCGCACTGCCCTGCCTGCCCTACTGCCTCTGCTGCTACTGCTGCTACTGCTCCTACTGCTGCTATGGCTAGCCCTACTGTTCTCAACTTTGATGGTGAGGGGCGTGCAGTTGAGTTTGACGAGTGCGTTGACGACCTGCAGCTCTTTCTTCAGTGTGACTCTAGGGATGGGGTATCCCTTTTCGATCACACGTCCGGTGTCTCTACTGCTCCTGCTGCCACTGCTGACAGTACGGTTCGCTCGCAGTGGACCACTCGTGACGCTGTTGCTCGTCTTGCTGTTCGTAGTCACCTGCCGCCTGCTGAGCGCGCGCATTTTGGCCAGTACAAGACTGCTCAGTCTTTGTACGACGCTGTAGTTGCGCGCTACTCCTCCCCTGCCACTGCTGCCCTCAGCCGCCTCATGCTGCCGTACCTTTTCCCTGACCTTGCCGCCTTTGCCACAGTCCCTGACCTCATTGCTCACCTCCGCACTAGTGACGCCCGCTACCGCGCTGCCCTTCCAACTGAGTTCTGTGCCAAGAACCCCCCCCCCCCCATGTACATCACCCTTTACTACCTAGTCACCCGCCTCCCTGACTCCCTTTCTTCAGTCAGGGACCACTTTCTCTCCCTTTGCCCCACCAAGCTCACTGTCGACTTGCTAGAGGAGCGCCTCACTGCAGCTGAGAAGAGTATCTTAGCTGTAGGTGCTTCTCGCGGCGACCGTCGCACCCCTTTCTTTGAGGGGTGTTCCCCTGTCCCCCTTCTCCCCTCTGTTGCTTCTGCTGCTGCTGTCGACCTTGTTGGCACTGAGGAGGACGGAGCTGCGTCTGCCCCTAGTGGGAGGCACCGCAACAGCAAGGGCAAGGGGAGCAAGGGTGGTGGAGGGGACAGCGGGGGCGGCGGCGGAGGCGGTGGAGGAGGCGGAGGGGGTGGCGGTGGAGGTGGGGGTGGTGCCGGGAGTGGGGGCTTCAATGGCGGCGGTGGAGGTGGTGGAGGCAGAAGCGGAGGTGGTGGAGGCAGTGGCCGCGGTGGTGGAGGCAGCGGCAGTGGTGGTGGCGGTGGCGGTGGTGCTGGTGCTGGTCGAGGTGCAGCCGTGCAGCGTGGAGGCTTTGGTGGTAGCCAGCGCCAGCAGCAGCCGCATTCCCGTGAGACCCCATCTGCCCAGCAGCTTCGTGAGTGGTACGCTGGGCGTGGGAGGTCTGGGGGTGCTGGTCCATGCACTTACGTTCTTCGCACCGACAGTCGTCGTGGGGAGAGGTGTGGGCATCCACACACTACGCAGCGCTGCTTCGGTCGCTTGACTGACGCATGTCGTGCCCAGTTTCCTGACGTTGTTGTGCTCCCTCGCTGGCATGATCTGCTTATGCAGAATGTGCCTATCTTTGATCTTGATTTCGATGCTATCCTTGCTGCCATGTATGCTTTGACTGATAGTGCTGAGGGTGACTGTTACTTGAGTGTCCCGCCCGACCCGGGCATTGCGGCTGCTGCTCTAGGTGCTAGTGCGTCTGCTGCTCCAGGTATTGGTGAGTCTGCTGCTCCAGGTGCCGGTGAGTCTGCTCTCTCTGGTACTGCACCTACTGAGGCCTTGCACACTTTCACAATTGACTCTGGTGCTTCGCGCTCTTTCTTTAGAGACAGCACCACACTCACGCCGCTCAGTCGGCCTGTCGCAGTCTCCCTGGCTGACCCCTCTGGGGGCCCAGTCCTTGCGCACTCTTCCACGGTTCTACCGTGTCCTGCGGCCCCGTCGGGCTTGTTGTCGGGACTCCACCTCCCCTCGTTCTCTACGAACCTGGTGAGTGGAGCTGACCTCCAGGACGCGTGGGTTGACCAGTTCGCCCCTGGAGGTCAGCGTGTGACCCACTGCACTTGCTCTCGGACGGGCCGCCACCTGGCCACGCTCACCCGTCGGCCAGGGTCGAGTCTGTACACACTGACCACTGCGTCTCCTCCGGTCTCTGCGTCTGGTCAGGTAGCTGCGTCTAGTCAGGTGTTTGCTGCCGCGTCCAGGTCTAGTCCTGCGTCTGCCCCCTGCTCGTGTCGTCCTCTGTCGCACGAGCCTCTCCTTTGGCACCGCCGCCTTGGTCACCCCTCCCTGCCTCGTCTTCGAGGTATGGCCTCCCGTACCCTTGTCTCGGGTCTTCCCCGGTCCCTCCCTCCCCTTCCTCCGGGGCCTGCCCCTACCTGTGTTCCTTGTGTCGAGGGCCGGCAGCGCGCCACTCCACACTCCTCCACGTTCCCTCCGACAGAGGCTCCTCTGCAGACTCTTCACATGGACGTGTGGGGCCCAGCCCGCGTCCGTGGACAAGGTCACGAGCGTTACTTCCTGCTGGTCGTTGACGACTACTCGCGTTACACCACAGTCTTCCCCTTGCGCAGCAAGGGTGAGGTCCCTGAGGTGTTGATCGAATGGATTCGCGGTGCTCGTCGCCAGCTCAGCGAGAGTTTCGGCTCGGACCTTCCTGTTCTGCGTCTGCACTCCGACAGACGTGGTGAGTTTTCCTCCGACCTCCTGAGGGCCTTCTGTCGTGCGAAGGGCATCCGCTAGACGTTCACGCTTCCGGCCTCCCCACAGCAAAATGGGATTGCTGAGCGCCGCATTGGCATGGTCATGGACGTCGCTCGTACGTCCATGATCCATGCGGCTGCTCCCCATTTTCTGTGGCCGTTCGCGGTTCAGTACGCTGCGCATCAGATCAACCTTCAGCCTCGTGTCTCCTTGCCGAAGACCACACCTACTCTGAGGTGGATGGGGAAGGTTGGCGATGCGTCCGCGTTCCGTGTCTGGGGATCTCGAGCTTTTGTCCGCGATACTTCAGCGGACAAGCTGTCCTCCCGTGCCGTTCCCTGCATCTTCCTTGGGTTCCCCCTTGACGCACCCGGGTGGCAGTTCTACCACCCCACCTCGCGTCGTGTTCTGTCCTCTCAGGACGTCACGTTTGACGAGTCGGTGTCTTACTACCGTCTCTTTCCCTACCGCAGTGCCTCTCTCCCCCCCCCGCCACTCTTCCTAGCACCAGGTACTCCTCCGGTAGACCCCCTCCCCCCTTAGGGTCCTGCCCCCTCAGGTGTGTCTCAGGTAGACCCTGCCGAGCCGGTCGAGGTAGCTGTCGACTCAGGTGCTGCTAGGGGTGCTGAGCCTGCGGGTGCGGGGACTGGGGGTGCGGAGCCTGGGGGTGCTAAGCCTGAGCGTGTGGAGTCTAGGGGTGCTGAGCCTGAGCGTGTGGGGTCTGGGGGTGCTGAGCCTGAGCGTGTGGAGCCTGGGGGTGCTGAGCCTGGGGGTACTGCGTCTGGGGGTGCTGAGCCTACGCGTGCTGCGTCTGGAGGTTCTCCGGGTGTCCCGTTGCGGCGGGAGCCCCTCTCTCCGCAGCTGCTTCGTGAGTGGTACGCTCGGCACTGTCGCCGTGCTACTGGAGCTGCTGGAGGTGCTGCTGGTGCTGGTGCTACTGGAGATGCTGCAGGTGCTGGAGCTGCTGGAGCTGCTGGAGGTGCTGCTGGTGCTACTGGAGGTGCTCGTACTAGAGGTACTGGAGCTGCTGGGGCTGGTGGTGCTGCAGGCATTGGAGCTGCGGGTACTGGAGCCGTTGGTGCTGTGGGAGTTGTTGCTGGAGACCCTGGAGCTGAGGGTACTGGTGCTGTCTCTGCTGTTTCAGGAGGCGCTGCGCGGCCGCGGCCGTACTACGTTCCGCTCCTTGGTCCCCCGCCTTCTCCTGGTCCTACTCCTCCTTTACTGAGTCCACCGCCTGTCCAGTCACAGTCACCGTTACAGCCGGCCTCTCCACTGCCTGGTCCTTCTCCTTACTCTGGACCGACTAGAGGTCTTACGGAGCATCGTGAGCCTGAGTCACGTCCTGTGTCGCCTGAGTCTCGTTCTGCGTCGCCTGTCAGTACTGTTCGCGCTGGTCGTGTTTTGCGTCCATGTCCTCCTCCTGTCCCTGGCACTCACTCTATGACTCTGCGTCCTTCCCTGGTGAGTAGGGTGACTGCTGATGGAGCACCATGGCACCACCACGGCACCACCATCGCATCCAAATCAAGGGATGCTCACTCGTGCTTCCCACCCTCTTCCTCCCACCATCGTCTTCTCAACCTTTAACTCCTACTCCAATTGCTTCTCTTCTCCTGTTTCTCACGCCCGAGCATCGGTCCAAACTGCGTGCTTGAACCAAAAGGTTCGCGGGCGAGTGCAAGGTCGTAAGAATTTACCCTTTTTTTTTTCCTTCTTTAAACCCCTTGCTCATCCCTGCTGCATTTCGATCGGAACGTGCGTGGATTCGCTCTGCAGACCCGTGCGCCGGCATCGACTGCGGGTCCAGTGCGTCCTGCATGCTGCAGGCTGATGGCACTGCTGACTGCTTGTGCGAGGATGGTTCTGCCTTCAACAAAACGGACAAGACATGCTACGGTGAGAGGTGGAGAGCGCGTGAGTGCAAGCGCTCCACGCATGGCATGCGAGTGAGATGAGTGCAGTGCACCACGCATGGCATGCGAGTGAGCCAAATGTGGTATCGGCTGAGTGGCTGTATGTTATCAGTGAGTTTAGCTCCCACGCATTCAAGCACGCATTTAGAAAGAAAGTGCCAATTTCAAGAGGGGCCTTTTCTTTCTTCCTTGATAGCCGTCTCCGTTCCTTTCTTCTCCTCCCTCGCTTCCCACTCGCATGCATGCTCACCCTTCTTTTCTCTTCTTCATGCTTCTTTTCACCCTGTTTTCCTAATGCTCTTGCTTCTTGCTGTCTTGCTTCTCACCTTCTGCAGTCTCACCTCTTGTTCCCTCGCTCAGTGTGCATTGAACAAAGGGTTCGTGGGCGAGTGGGCGAGTGTGGATGATTGCGCGAGGGTGGTTGAGTGCACTAGTGTATGTTCGTAAACAAAATCCTTTTGTTTTCCGAAATTCAACCCCATTCCCTCCTGTACTCGGGAACGTCCATGAACCGCCATCCCCTTGCAGACGCGTGTAGCAAAGTGGATTGCGGGCCAAGTGCTTCTTGCTTGCAAGGGAATTCTGGTCCCAATAGCCCCCCTGAATGCGTGTGCAATGATAATAAAGCCTTCAATGAAACGGACAAGACATGCTACGGTGAGTGGTGTAGAGCGAGTAAGTGCACGTATGGCATGGGAGTGAGCCAAATGTGGTATCGGCTGAGTGGCTGAATATCATCAGTAAGTTGTGCTTTCAGAAGGAAAGAGCCCCTACGCTAGACTCAGCTTTATTTCTCATTTGTTGTCTCCATTTCCCCTAGCTCTCTGAAGTGTGGGTGATTGTGTGAGCGGGGGCGAGCGTGCGAGGGAAGGCGAGTGTGCGAAAGGGGGGGTGAGTGTGCGAGGGGGGGTGAGTTCACACTCATAGGAAAAGAATTTCCATTCATCTAACTAAGCCCATTGCCCTACTCACCTACTCACCTCGGGAACACCCATGACATCCTCTGCAGACGCGTGTGTGGTCTCTGGCAAGGAGTGTGGCTCCGATGCAACCTGCGTTGCGTATCGTAACTACGATCCCGAGTGCCGGTGCAACAAGGCCGATACGATCTTCAACGAGCCTGGCAAGACGTGCTTTGGTAAGTGCCGCACTTCTGATCCGTAGACACTACATATTCTCGAACAAACACTTTCCTGCAGAGAGGCATTGTTGAGCTGTTTTCGTCTCCTCACTCCCTCCGCGCCTTCCTCCCTGTCTGCCCTCGTCCTCTTCTTCTCCCTGTCCCACCTCAACTCAACGTCTTCAAACCCCCATCATCCCCACCTTTGCCGGCCGCTCCGGCATCGTGGCATCAATCAATCATCGGCCTTAACGGCCGCTCAGGCCCGTTGGTGCGGACGGCGGTGCAGCTGAGTGGGCGCAACATCAAGAAGCAGCTCACCTTCTCCACCTCGGTACCGGCAGAGCAGGCCAGCGGCACCACTGTGTGCGCCAGCAGAGACATCAGCTACAGCATTGGCGGCGCTCAGATCACCGTCGTGTGGGATGCCCCAAACCTCCGAAGCTCTGACCCCTTGAGCCCCGAAGCGCTTGGCAACGGCATGTGCAAGAGCCTGACGTTTTACTCCGGCCGGCGCTGCACGGGCCAGCTGGGGCTGACGATTGCACGCCCTGCGAGGAAGGGCCGTTCCTACCCTGCCACGAAAAGGTGTGTGAGCGTGATGCACGGCACATGGTTTGAGCATGATGCACGGTACATGGTGTGAGCGTGATGCACACCACATTGTGTGTCCGCATGATGCATGCCATGTAAAGTGTGAATGGAGTGACTGTCGTGATTCGTCCTCATGTTTCTGTCTTCCCCATCCGTACGTCTCCCTCTCTCAGGCCTGTCAAGTCAACTTATTCACCGCAGTCAGTTGGCTGCAATCTCAGTAAGTGCGAGTGCATGCCATGCACGTCCTCAGCTTTATGTCTTTCTACCTTAAGTTTGCCATGTGCATAACACAGAAGGTCTCTGTACATGCTATCATTATTTTACTCATTTCACACACCCAACCTCTTCCACATAATTCTTGTTTTCACTTCCCTGAAAGCCTTTGCTTTTGACCCCTTGTCTTTGCATGCCTGCATTGTTAACCCCCCTCCGGTGCCCACAACAGCCACGTGCCTCAAGGATTGTGGAGCTGCTGAGTGCGTTGTGAAGGATGGCGAGCAGCAGTGCCAGTGCCCCGAGGGCCTCGTGTTCAACCCAGCCAAGAAGCTCTGCCGCGGCCCGTTTCCTTTTCGTAAGTCGGGGCAGAAAGAAAGAGAGAATCAGCCGGGCAGCTTCTAACGTATGCAGTTAGAAAAGCGATTGCCAGTCTGATGCTTGCTACACCAAGAGGAGCAGGCTGTGCTCTGATGAGCTGACCAGGGCTTGCTTCAATGACTGGTTAACAAGATAGCGAGAGGCTAAGATGCCAAGAGGGCAAGAGGGCAAAAGGTCAAGAGGCAGTCCAGCTTTCAAGAGACAGTGCTTCATGTGAGTCGAGCTGGAGTGCTTGTGGTGCTTTTGTTTCATTACCACTCCCCCCTTCCAAGCCATTCCCTCTCATTCTCCCAACCTGCTGCCCGACTCAGCCCCATGCTCTTTCCCCTCTCCCCCAACCCCTCACCCCCCAACGTCGCCAGCCAAGTGCAACCCTGCCTGCACTGCTGATGCCCAGTGCACGTACGTGGGGGGAAAGTCAGAGTGCCAGTTCCCAGGCTGAAGAAGAGCAAGTGCACAGGTAGGGAGAGAGAGATCTGCTTTATTAAGGAGGGCAGGCCGCTGTGCCAGTGCCCCCCGGGAGCCACAGTGCCAGTGCAGAGAAGCTTTGCCGCTATGTTTCTTTGCTATCTGTTGCACGTTTGCCATCCGTATGTTTCTCATGTCTAGGATAGCTTCTCGTGTATTCGCCAGTGTGACGCCGGTTACACCAAGAGGAGCGGGCCTGGACTGGTGTGCATCTTTCTGACTCCTCACGCATCTTGTGCTATGGCCTGCCCTGCCCTCCATTTACCCATCACTTTTGCAACTATGGACACTATGCAGGGGTCAGTGGACAAGCGAAGAACGGGTGACCCTAGTTGGATGGGCAGGGGTTGGTGGAGGCGCACGCTGGCAGCGCCAGTCAGAGGGACATTAGATCGGCAGGGGTTGGTGGAGCAGGGCAGAGATGCGAGCAACCGCATGCGGTTGCTCGGAGGCCAGGAACCAACTTTGGTTGACGGTTGGCTGAGTCGTTTAGTGTACACTATGAATGTGATTACATGCTTGCTGGTTTGTGTTGTGGTACCATAAAGTCTGGCTCTAGAACTCACCTTGGAAAGTACTGTAGTACCGTAAAACTCTACTTTGTGTGCTACCCAATATCTTGGTTGGTCTATACTTGATCACCCCCCAATATTGAACACCCGTGACATTTGTGGATACGGGGTGCTGTGCTCTATAGAGGCGTTTCTTGATACCAGTACGGTACCCCCCTTTCTTGCTTGTACCGTAAATTATCATAACACCCCCCTTTCCTCTATAAAACAGAGATTTTCCTACAAATTAGCTGTTGTGGGCCGTATTTTGGCACTTGCTCTGATTTTTACAACTGCTAATGTACTTCCCACCTCGGGTCGTTGAATAGGGGTGGGTCTAATGCTACTGTATCACCGTGAGAACTGTTGATTTTTCTTCCTTGGCCTCTTCCCGTCCATTCTTTTTCTCCCTACCTCCTAGTTCACTGAAGTGTGGGTGAGTGTGCGTGTGTGGGTGAGTGTGCGTGCGTGGGTGACTGTCTGTGTGTGGGTGACTGTGCGAGTGGGGGTGAGTGTGCGTGTGGGGGTGAGTGTGCGAGTGGGGGTGAGTGTGAGAGTGGGTGTCATGTGTGGGTGATTTCCAGAACCATAACCATTTCATTTGTCTAAGCCCATTCGTGTTTCACTCGTCTTAGCCCATTGCCCTACTCACCTCGGAACCCCCCATAACTTTATCGCAGACCCGTGTGTTGTCTTTGGCAAGGATTGTGGCTCCAAAGCTTCCTGCTTTGCACATGGGACCGTTGCTGTGTGCCACTACAAGACGGGTGGTTACTCCTTCAACGAGACTGACAAGACGTGCTTTGGTGAGTGCTCCACTGCTGATCTGTAGACAGTTTATAGCTGATCTTTACACAAACACACTTCTGCAGGCATCGCTAAGAGGCATTCCTGCCCTATTTTCGTCTCCTCACTCCTCCCACCTTGCTACCAGTCTGCCCTCTTCCTCTTCTTCACCCTGTCCGTCTCCAACTCAACGTCTTCAAACCCCCATCGTCAACACCTATGCTGGCCGGCCGTGGCATCGTTCATCACATGCCAACGCGCGAACTGTCTCAACAATCGTTCAGCTTCCGCGGTACGGACGGCGGTGGAGCTATATGATTGGCGCAAATTGAACAACCGTCTCACCTTCTAGACCGAGGTACCGGCAGAGCAGGCCAGAGGCACCACCGTGTGCAGCGACAACCTGAGCTCCAGCGTTGACGAGGCCAAGAAGACGGAAGTGTGGACCATCGTGTGGGATTACCCGAGGCCCTTTTGGGCGCCGGCTGGCAACGGCATGTGCAATAGTGTGACGTTCTACTCCCGCCGGGGCTGCACGGGCCAGCCAGGCGCCACGATCGCACGTCCTGCGAGGAAGGGCCGTTTCTACCCCTCCGTGAAAAGGTGTGTGAGTGTGATGCGCGGCACATGTGTGATGCGCGGCACATGTGTGATGCATGGCACATGTGTGATGCACGGCACATGTGTGATGCACGGCACATGTGTGATGCACTGCACATGTGTGATGCACGGCACATGTGTGATGCACGGCACATGTGTGATGCACGGCACATATGTGATGCACGGCACATGTGTGATGCCTGCCACATCGTGTGTGAGCGTGGAGCACACCCTGTAAATTGTGAATGGAGTACTCTTTCGTGATTCGTCCTCATTATTTCCCCATCCTTAAATATCCCTCCCTTAGGTCTTTCAAAGTAGCAAATTCACCGCAGTCAATTGGCTGTGTTATCAGTAAGTGCGTGCATGCATGGACTAACGTTAGCATCACCCACTTAAAGAAGATCTCAGAGCACACTATCGTGGGTTTTACTCATTCTGACACTATCACAAACATGGGAGAGAGATGATAAGAGAGAGCAAGGCACACACTTATTCACTTCCACACAATTCACACTTAAAGAGTGTTGCTTCTGATGCCTTGTCTCCAAGTGCCTGGATTTTGTCCCTCTGTGCTGCCCACAACAGCCACGTGCCACAAGGATTGTGGAGCTGCTGAGTGCGTCGTGAAGGAGGGCCAGCAGCAGTGCCAGTGCCCCGAGTGCCTCGTGTTCAACGAGGCTAAGAAGCTCTGCCGTGCTCCTCCTCCTCCTCGTAGGTGCCTTGTCGTTTTCTGCATGCTTGCCCAAGAATAAAGGATCAGCCGGGGAGCTTCTCACGCTGGGGTGCTCGTGATGCTTTTGTGTCATCATCATGCCCCCACTCCTTCCAAACCACTCGCTCTCATTTTCCTTGCCTGCCTGCTGCACCACCCAGTCTCATGCTCTCTCCCCTCTCCCCCACCCCCCACCTCCCAACGACGCCAGCCAAGTGCAAGCCTGCCTGCACTGCTGGTACCCAGTGCACGTGGGTGGGAGGAAAGTCGGTGTGTCAGTGAGTGAGCAACTGAGAGGGAGGGGGGGGGGGGGGGGGGAAAGAGGGGAGGGGGTTGATGGAGCAGAGGTGCGAGCAAGTGCATGCGGTTGCTCGATGGCTAAGGACCAATTTTGCTGATGGTTGGATTGAGTCATTCAGTGTCTGAGCTTGCTGGTTCGTTGTTGTACCATAGAATCTGGTTTTCATTCCTTGAGAATTTTGTTTAGCTTTTGAAATACCATGTTTGTGTGCTGGATGTCTTGCCCTTTTGTTCACCTAATGTGCTCTCGAATCCAAGTTTTTGCTGATCCATGGAGGACCATTTATGGTACCAGATTGTCATTTGTTAGTTTTAGGCCACACTGAGGTGCTCTTTAGAGAGTACAACATTTGTTAGGGTTTCCTATTCATCTCATTCTTGCTAGGTCATTTCATTCCGCTACGTTACTTTGACATGGTACATCATAGGTCGTTGCTTGGTCCTATCTAGCCTACCTTCTTAGACCGCATAGCTCATAGCGTTTTTGCCAACCATAGCCAACCAGGCAATGCCAGACAGCCAACTAGCCACTAGCGCCCACGCCGTCAGCCAACTAGTAGCGTGCGTAGCAAGCAGCAGCCAGCAGCGGCAGCCACGCGCAGCCCGCACGCGCACAGAGACCAGCGCGTGCAAAAGCACATGGCCACCACGTGCAGCAGGCAGCGACAGCAGCGCGCACGTAAACCGCGTACAGCGCACACAGCCGCGCACAGCTGTACGCAGCCATGCACAACTGCGCGCAGCCGCGCCCAGCCGCATGCGACAGCGCAGCCGCCCAAAGCGGGGCAGCTGCGCACAGCCGTGCACAGCCGCACGCATCCGCGCACAGCAGCGCACAGCTGTTGCACTGCCACGCATGGGCACGCACAGCTGCCCACAGCTGCACTTGCAGCGCGCCTCGTCCGTGCATGTACCGCTAGCAGTACCATTAGTACTAGCCGCCAGCGCACTAGCAGCACACACAGCCACCCCACCAGTGACCGATCCCGCCCCGCCCGTGCCTGCCAGCTCCCACCATTCTCCTGACATTGCTGCTCCTATTAGTGTCTGGAAGCCGCATTCACTCTTATTGCCGTAGTCTATCGTTCAGAGTTGGTTCCTATATCACATTTCCTAGTCCGCCATTTCCAGCCAACGGTTCTCAGCCTACAGTTCCCAGCCAACAGTTCCTAGCTAGTCTTTCCCAGCCAACAGTTCCTACCTAGCCTTTCCCAGCCAATAGTTCCTAGCCAGCCCAGCCAACAGTTCCTAGCCAGCCTTTCACAGCCAGCAATTCCTAGCCAGCCTTACCCAGCCAACAGTTCCCAGCCAGCCTTTCCCAGCCAACAGTTTCTAGCCAGCCTTTCCCAGCCAACAGTTCCTCGCCCGTGTCCTACGCCATGGCGTCCGCTAGAGTCCTACGGTTCGACGCAGAGCTGCACCTGGCTGATTCATGCCTAGCTGCACCTTAGGAGTTACAGTCAGGACAGCGACACTTTGTTCGCCCACATGCTGGGTGACATGCCGGCCCCTCCCCGTCCCACTCCTTTCCCCGCCGAGCCCACTGAGGCGGAACGGGAGACGTTTGCTAGCGGCGCTTGGAGTATTCAGTCTGAGAGTCCCGAGATGCTGCTGCTAGTCTTCCCTCAGTGACCTCCTCTTGCCGATCGAGGCCGTGCACTTCAGCCAGGTCACGTCTGCGAAGGAGTGTTTTGACGCTATCGTTTCTTGTTATTCCACTCGTTCCTCTGACTCCCCTTCAATGCCTCCTCATGCCGTTCTTCTTCCCAGACCTTGCTGCGTTTCACACTACTACTGACCTAGTCACTCACATGCACTCGCTTGATGCTAGCTACTATGCTGCCTGTTCTGACACCCACCTTGCTAGCCACCCCCCACCAATGTTTGCCACCCTCTACTTCATCGTGACCTGCCTCCCTGACCATCTCTCGTATGCACATGTCACGCTTCTTAGGAAGCACCCCATTGAGCTTACCATCAAACTCATTGCGACCACTCTCAATGAGATCAAGGTTAAGCTTCCGCTCCGTTGCCTCAGCCACCGCCGTAGTCTTTCGCCATCTTTTTGAGAAGTGTGATGTGCCCCAGCTTCCCACCTTCACGGTTTCTATTGCTGCTCTTGAGGCGGTGGAGGCGGTGGAGGTGGGGAGGTACTGGTGCGTCAGGAGGAGGAGGCTCCGAAGGTGGGACCGGCGCTGCAGGTTCGATGCCTGTGGGTGCTAGCCTTGGGGGTGGGGTGGGGAGACAGCAGCAGCAGCCATTATCGCAGTAGAAGGTGCAGCATCAGCAGCAGTTTCAGCACTGGGGACCTCAGCAGCAGTCAGGACATCATGGTTCGGGCATAACATGTGTCACGTGCATACAACACAAGAGCTCCGAGCACGCTATCGTGGGTTTTACTCATTCTGACATAATAAAAAACATGGGAGAGATATGATAAGAGAGAGAGCAAGGCATGTTATAGTCACAATAGTCTCAAATGTGCCTAAAACAAAAGATAAAGTGCATAGTCGGATTTCTGCACAGCGACTTTAAACGTTCACATCGTTCTGGTTACAACTCCAAATTACTTTCTATAACTTGGATCTGGAGCGTCTTGACGTCGTCTACAATAGGCAATTTAGATCGCACGATGTCATCAAGTTTTGACGCCCAACGTTAGTTTGAACGAATGGCACTATGGCAGCCACAATAGTCTTAGAACACAAATTAAGAAGAATTACGAGTTGGGAATGACTCTCAGCCTCTACAAACCCCCAAGAGTCGATGTACAATGTTGTTGTTTTTTTTTTTTTTTTTTTTTTTTTGTGAATGGGCATGCACTATATAATGCAAATATATTTGCAGTCGTAACTGTATACTGGAGAGGACCGACCCCGCAGTCGCACACCGAGATGCCCCTCTCCGAACTGCTTCTATGGGGGACGATAGAAAGTCCTAGGGTTCCGCCAAATGGATAGGAATTCATCCTTCCACGTGGCATGTTCACCCGAGCACAAATCTTGTCCACCGCCGCTCTCTCGTCCTTTTCCAACCCCCGCCACAGGTCTCGTGGCACCATTGCTGCCTTGTCACGGTCGACCTTCCTTGACCTTTCTGCCCTGTAAATCCTCGCATGCCTCATGAAGTCGTAGATTGCCACCCTTGCCACCCTTTTCCTTTGGAACCTCTCGTTCCTGTACACCGCATCCACCCTGGCCAATAAAATGCGCCACATCGTCACCACTGTCAGCGTGGCACCCGGGAAGCCTGAATTCGTGGTCCCCTCCTGGAAGAGCATGTCCCCCAGTGACCGCATCTGCACTCCTGGGTCCGTCATTTGGAGTGAGCTGAGTAGCGCGCAGATGACCGCTTGCATCACCGGGCTGTCCATCATACAGTGCTCTAGGGTTTCAGGGGCTCCACAGTGTGGACAAACTCCTCTGGGGCCCAAGAACACCAACCTCCCCCCGACTTGGAGGTTCTTGCTGTGCATCCTGAGTACCACATCTCTTGCCCTGTATGAAATGACCAGAGAATCACGCGCTTGCAGCACCGCCTTCCAATCAATCTTTCTTCCCCAGTCTTCCTCCCACTCGCCACTTCTCCGGGAGGCAGTCACCGGGCCTGTTAATACTCTCCGTATCACCCTGGGCGCCGCTGGTTTCATGTTGAGCCCCACCAAATTCGTCAGGCAGAGCTTCGCCCTTGGTTCGCCCATCGCCCCCAGGACCGTAGCCCCCTTTACCGCCACCGGCATGACATCTTTAGCCGGAAATTCGCCGCGATGGGGCTCGGCGAGACCACCGGATTTGTGTCGTCCACACACCTCAGATCATCGATCGCCACTCTCCTGTCGCTCCTGACCCCGCGTACCGTCCAATACAGGTTCTCTTGCATGCGTCGCAGGACTGTGCACACCACCTTGGCTGCTGCGACCACCGTCTTGGGCGCTACCAGAAGGAACTTCCATTCCTTCGGTGCTGCCTCATATGCTTTCGTCACCAATCTGGCTGACGCCACGCTCCTGAGTTCCTCCGTCAACTTCTTAACCTCCTTTATCCCCCTGCTTCCGTCTCCTTTTGTTTCAAGCAGGTCACCGATTTTGGTTGTCCAGATGGCCGCCGTCCCCTGTTGGTTCCCAAAAGGGCTGCTGCCTCGGAACATGATGCAGCGGTTGAAACACAGAAGCTCCTGCTCCGCCTCCCACCCGTTGCTCGGTGCTGGAAGGTCGGCGTATGGCGATTCCCAGAAGACCTTCACCACAGCTTTCCATCTCTGGCTGCCCCTCTCCCAGTGTTTACTCGCAGACTTGTGGGCATACAATGTCACTGTGCCCTGCGGCAACGCCGCCGCCTTCTCCGCGAGCCACCTCTTCGTGGCGTTCGTCCCCGTCAATAGTTTCCCCACCATTCGGATCGCCAAGCTGTCCAGCCAGGCCTTCGGGTCCACCAGCCCCAGACCCCCCTCCTTCTTTGGCAGCTAGGCTAGCTCTCCGCTCCATAGGACGAAGAGCTTATCTGCCGTCACCTGCCCGCTGGAGACATAGTTATCGCACGTCTTCCGGATCTTGGCCCACAGCTCCTCCAGCGAAAAATAGATCTGCGCTTAGAAAAGAAAAATTGGAATTATGTAGCTGTGGATGACTGTGAATCGCGCCGCTGTCAGCAGATGCTGGTTTTCCCACCTCACTAGCTCCCCTTTTCCCCTTTCCCACGCCTTCTCCTAGGACGGCGCCGCATCTCCATCCGGTGTGACCCAGACTCCGAGCAACCGTTCCGGCAGTCCGTCTAACGCCCACTTAAAATATACAGTTTCGAGACCCTTCATGGTTGGGGACGGTGTGGCACTGTTCTACATCACTGTACCTCGGCTCTTGGGGTTTGTAGAGGCTGGGAGTCATTCCCAACTCGTAACTCTTCCTATCTTGTGTTCAAAGACTATAGTGGCTGCCATAGTGCCGTTCGTTCAAACCAACGTTGTGTCGTCAGTTCTTAATGAACTCGTGCAATCTAAATTGCCTAGTGTAGACGACGTCAAGACGCTCAAGATCCAATTTGAAGCAAGTCATTTGCAGCTGTGACCAGAACGATATCAACGTTTGAAGCCGCTGTGCAGAAATCCGACTGTGCACTCTATCTTTCGTTTTAGGCACATTCAAGCCTATTGTGACAATAGCACTGCCCGCCCTGCTGCTGGCCACCCTAGCCGTGCGCTGCCCTGCCCTGCCTGCGTGCTGCTCTGCTGGTAGCGTGCCATCCTGCTCTGTTGGTGCAACCCTAGGTTTGCATTCGGCTTGTTGTCCGTGCGCGTGCATGCGTGTGTGCATGGAATGGTATGAGGGCATGAAATAATGTATATTTCATGCTTACAATAGTGTGTGAATGATGAGGCATGATTTTGAATGTGTGTGTCGAGTCAATAGCGAGTTATCGCTATTCGCGTGTCACGGCGTTGTTTGCGTGTCGTGTGCGGTTTTCTATTTTGTCGTGTGTGGAACGTTCGGCGTGTCGCAGGTGTGCGCAGCAGACTTCCAAGAACTCAAGGAAGAATTTATCTTGAAGAACCAGAGCCTTGGTTTCAAGAATCAAGTGATTTCGAAGCTCTCCAAAAATGGTATACTTTAAGATAGTGAGAATAGTTGCATTACTTTGTGTAGTGTAACATTTCTCTTGGTGTAGGCCCTTGTGGAGGGTAGTTTCGAGACCCTTCGTGGTTGGGGACAGTGTGGCACTGTTCCACATCACTGTACCTCGGCTCTTGGGGTTTGTAGGAGCTGGGAGTCATTCCCAACTCGTAACTCTTCCTAATTTGTGTTCTAAGACTATAGTGGCTGCCATCGTACCGTTCGTTCAAACCGACGCTGTGTCGTCAATTCTTTATGAAATCGTGCAATCTAAATTTCTTATTGTAGGCGACGTAAAGACGCTCCAGATCCAATTTGAGAAGAACGCTATCAACGTTTGAAGCCGCTGTGGAGAAATCCGTGTGTGCTCTCTATCTTTCGTTTTAGGCACATTCAAGCCTATTGTGACAAGAACAAGTGGTAT